AGTCTCACCGACTTTCCTGCCCAGGCTGGCTTTGAACCGTGATCCTCAGATCTCAGCCTCCTGAGTAGCTAGAATTACAGGCATGAGCCACCGTCCCCCAGCTCACTTTTGGCTTTTTTTGGTGATTAGAGACAGAATCTCAGACTTTCCTACCGGCACTGGTTTTGAACCTCAATCCTCAGATCTCAGCCTCCCAATAAGTAGCTTGGATTATAGGCGTGAGCTACCAATGCCTGAGCTAGGTGATGGGAATAGGCTTTGGAGAATGGCATCTGGAGGAAAACAAGGCTTGAAAGAGCCAGGAGTGGTGGTGTACGTCTGTTATTCCAGCACTCCGGAGACTGGAGGTAGGACAATAAAAGTTCCTGGGCTGGATAGTGAGACCCTACCTCAAACCAAACCAAACCAACACAGAAAGCCAGAACTCAGGCGTCACAGGAAGCGAGGTCCTTGGTGGGATCTTGAAAATAGGGAACTGAGAGAAAGGCTGAGGGTGAAGTTGAGAAAGAGAGGTTGAGGGCAGTGAACCTAGGAGGGAAGGGAAGAATTCTGTTGAGAGCACAGGCTGGAAAAAGAAGCAGTTTAAAACCAGGTAACCATGGCTCATACCTGTAATCCTAGCTACTCACATGGCTGAGATTTATTTTAATTAATTAAGTAATTAATTTTGTCAGTCGTGGGGCCTGAACTCTGGGCCTGGGCACTGTTCCTCAGCTCTTCAGCTGTAGACTGCGCTCTACCACTTGAGCCTCAGCCCCACTTCCGGCTTTTTCTGCTTATGTGGTGCTGAGGAATCGAACCGAGGGCAAGCACTCTACCACTGAGCCACCTTCCCAGCCTGCAGCTGAGATTTAAAGATCATGGTTTGAAGCCAGCCAGGGGAGAAATGTTCGTGAAACTCTTATCTACAGTGAGCCATCAAAAAGCCAGAATTGAGCCAGGCACTGCTGGTGGCTCACACCTGTAATCCTCGCTTCACAGGAGGCTGGGATCTGAGGACCTCAGAAAAAGCTGCAAGTGGTGCTGTGACTCAAGTGGTAGAGTGCCATCCTTGAGGTTGCACCTAGGGATAGCACCTAGGCTCTGAGTTCAAATCCTAGGACTGGCACCAAAAAAAATGTAAAAAATAACATCAGGGATGGCAAATAGCATCCGATCCTGACCACCTCCCCACCCCCCTTCTCTTTCCTAGAACCCCCGATGCTGGAAGAGAAGCCTCCCCCCTCCCCACCTCCTGCCTCCACACTTCAGCCCCCACCACCTCCACCGCCACCTCCAGCCCTGCCCTCGCCACCCCCGCTGGTGGCACCTGCAGCCAACTCGCCACCACCACCTCTGCAGCAGCCACCCACACCTGCACTGCCCTCGCCGCCGCCACCCCCACCTCCTCCCCCTCCCCCTCCTCCCCCTCCACCAGCAACTGCCCCTCCAGCCGCCCTGCCTGAGGAACCCGCAGCCCCGTCCCCTGAGGACCCCGAGCCCCCTGATGCTCGGCCCCTGCACCTGGCCAAGAAGCAGGAGACGGCAGCCGTGTGTGGGGAGACGGACGAGGAGGCGGGCGAGAGTGGCGGAGAGGGCATCTTCCGGGAGCGGGATGAGTTTGTCATCCGGGCCGAGGACATCCCCTCTCTGAAGGTGAGCCCCCAGCCTGCTCCTGGGAAACTGGGCCTGGTGGATTTGACTACTGGAGCATTGATTGAAGGCCTGCTGGCCGTGGGCCATGTTGGGGTCAGAGGTGGGCTTTCTGGGTCCCCCTGGAAGATGAGATCTGATGGCGTATAGAGGAGGCCAGTGGGGGACCTGGGGACCTGTGCGGTACCCCTCGTATGTGGCTGTCCATAAGAATGTTGGGTTTTGGGGCTGGGAAGGTGGCTCAGTGGTAGAGCGCTTGCCTTGCATGCATGAGGCCCTGGGTTCGATTCCTCAGCACCACATAAGCAGAAAAAGCCAGTAGTGGAGCTGTGGCTCAAGTGGTAGAGCACTAGCCTTGAACTGAAGAGCTGAGGGACAGCGCCCAAGCCCAGAGTTCAGGCCCCACGACTGGACCCCCCCCCAAAAAAAAAGAATATTGGGTTTTCTCTTTTCTTGGTAGAACCCAAAAAACTACTCTACCCTTTGAACCATACTCCCAGTTTTTGTTTGTTTGGTGCTGGTTCTGGGGCTTGAACTCAAGGCCTGAGCGCTGTCCCCTGAGCGATTTTACTAAAGACTAGCACTCTACCACCCGAGCCAGCCACAGCTTCACTTCTGGAAAAATTTTTTGTAATTTATTGGGAGATAAGGGTCTCAGGTACTCTCCTGCCTGGGCTGGCTTTGAACCATGATCCTTGAACTCACATCCTTCTTGAGTAGCTAGGATGACAGGTGTTGGCCACTAGTGCCAGGATTTATATTTTCCTTCTTTTTTTTTTTTTTTTTGGTCAGTCAATGGGGCTTGACTATGGATCTGGGCGCTGTCCCTCAGCTCTTCAGCTCAAGGCAAGCACTCTACTGCTTGAGTTACAGTACCGCTTCTGTTTTGTTTTTTTTTTCTTTTTTGTAATTTATTGGAGATAAAGTTCTCAGGGACTTTCCTGCCTGAGCTGGCTTTGAACAGTGATCCTCAGATCTCAGCCTCCTGAGTAGCTAGGAGTATATTTTCCTTTTAAGACCAGGTGGTGCTTACTTTGCCCAGGGTGGCACAATCCTCTTACCTCTACCTCCTGAGTAGCTGAGATTACAGGTGGGCATCACCGTGTCTGGCTTTAAAAGGGTTATTAATATATCCCACGTATATGCTTTTGGGGATGTAGCAGGGAGCAAAGCAGATGAGACTCTGCTCTTTCTTTTCTTAAGGACTTTTTCAAGTGGCAGAACAAGTCTAAAGAGAATACGATGTGGTTTATGTTGCCATGATAGGAGGAGGCAGTGGACAGACCCACCTAGCCCATTCACCTGCACCTTTTAACAGCTGACCATTGAGTGTCAGGTTGTCTTAAATACCCCAGGTAGCCCAGGCCGTTTACCACTTCCTCTCTGCAACAGGGTTTGGCAAACTTCAACCTCTGGGCCTGATCCAACCCACAGCCTGTATTTATAAATAAAGTTTTATTGGCACACAGCCACACTCATTCATTTACATACTATCCATGGGTATTTGCCCCATCCAGTGGCAGAGTAGATCTGGCTCGAACATCCAGAACTAATTTATGCCTTCCGGCCTGGCCTGTTTTGGTGACTTCTCTCTAATGTGCTTTTTAAGTTTGTGGGGATAAGGGGCTGGCTGAGGTCAGGGGATTGTGGCTGTGATGATGGTTGTGATGGGGTTACAGGTCCTGTAGGCATCAAGCCGTGCTGGTGTTGGGGGCTCAGCAGCCCATGGTGGCACCATTGTCTGGGCTTATCTGTGTCTGGTTGGTCGTATATCGATGGTGAGCAGGACAGTGTTGGGCATTTGGTGTCCTTAATCCCTTTGTGTGAAACCTTTCCTGATGTTTTCTTCTGAAATATGGTGAAGAGATCGTGGATTGAATTAATGTAATTAGTTTCTGTGTGTCTCAGGAGGTAAACGTCACATGTTCTTTCCTATTTCATTTTATTTTCTATTTTTATTCATTTATTTATTTTGCTGGCTCTGGGGATTGAACTCTGCTTGAGGTTTTTTGTTGTTTTTTTTTTGGCTCAAAGCGAGTGCTCTACCACTTGAGCCATAGAACCACTTCTAGCTTTTTTGAATAGTTTACTGGACATATGAGTCTCCTGCCCAGGCTGGCTTTGAACTATAATCCACAGCTCTCAGCCTTCTGAGTAGCTAGGATTACAGGCATGATCTAGCAGTGCCCAGTTTCTATTTTATTTATTTGCTTATTTTAGTGGCAGTCCTAAGGGCTTGAACTCAGGGCCTGGGCTCTGACCCTGAATTTTTATTTTTATTTTTTTATTTTTTATTTTTTTCGGTCGTATGGCTTGAACTCTGGGCCTGGGCGCTGTCCCTCAGCTCTTCAGCTCAAGGCGAGCGCTCTACCACTTGAGCTACAGAGCCACTTCCGGTTTTCTGGTGGTTTATTGGAGATAGGAGTCTCACGGTCTCTCCTGCCCGGGCTGGCTTTGAACCGCGATCCTCAGATCTCAGCCTCCTGAGTAGCTAGGATGACAGGCGTGAGCCACCAGCGCCTGGCTATTTTTATTTTTTATTAACTTAAGGATGCTCTACCATTTGAGTCACAGCTGTGACTTGCGGCTTTTTCCTGTGGCCAATTGGAGATAAGAGTGTCACCCATGTGCCTGCCTGGGCTGGCATCAAAATGTAGTTCTCGGATCTCAGTCTCCTGAGTAGCTAGGATTACAGACAGGTGCCACCAGCACCCAGCCCTGTCCTTAATTTACAAACAAGAAAACCTAGGTTCAAAGAGGTCACCGTGTGGATTCCTGTCCCCCTTCCCGGCTGGGGTGGGAGGGGAGAACAACTGGGGCCCCACGTGGTTGAAATCACTTCCACGCGTTTGCAACTCAGACCGCACATCTGCCTGCCGGCCAGGGAGCCTCTGGGCTCAGCACCAGCTGGGTGCCATGCCTATTCTGGTGCGACATTGACCGTGACCGTGGTGAAAGGATCAGGTCTCGGGGCCAGGGACCTCAACTTTCCTGATTTACCTAGGAGGAAATTCATGTGGGTAGGGAAGGAGCCCATGGAGCTGGGATGGAAGCCAGAGCCATTTGATAGCACATCCCAGCTGACACGGGCCAGGAGAAGGGGCCAGGCAAGGACTCAGGAGCTTAAAATACAACGGGGGGGGTGCAGAAGAGGGGGGAGCAAGAGAGGGAGCGAGAGAATGGGGGCACAGAGCCCTAGGCCCCAGCCATCCTTGTGCATGCCAGGACAGGGCATGGTTCCACGTTTCACAGCCCAGCCTTGGTATGAACCTGACTCTTGACCCTTGGCTCAGCTTTGCTCCCATCCGTCTGTGCCTCAGTTTCCCCCACGAGGGCCAATCATAGCAGTCTCTCCTTGGTGCTGTGTCCTAGGCCTCACCATGTCCTGGCCTGTCCCATTCTCCCATGGGGCCCAGCTGGCAGAAGGAGCCCGGGAATGTGTTCGGTGTTTATCTCTGGGAGGTTGGGTCAGCCTCCAGGACAGGGCTGGGGAAAGCCCAGGACCAGGTGATGTTACAATGGGCGCAGTCTCGAAGCGCCCGCCTGCTCTTCTTCCTGGGGTTCTTACACTGCTGAACAGTTGGCAAGTGGGGCATGTCAGAGTGCATACCTTCTCAGCAGGAGGATCCAGAGCTCCTGGGCTTGACCCGCCTGGGCAAAATACTGAGATATTGTCTCCAAAAACTCTTTGCTCTGGTGGATGTAGGTTGGGTGACAGAGTGGAAGGTAGACACTGGGAAGTGGTTCAAGGCCAACTTGGGGGGGAAAAGTTGGCAAGACCCCATCTCCACCAATAAAAGGCTGGGTAGCTGGGTGCTGGTGGATCACGCCTGTCATTCTAGGCTACTCAGGAGCCTGAGATCTGAGGATTGCGGTTCAAAGCCAGCCCAGGCAGGAAAAGTCCATGAGGCTATTATCTCCAATGAACCATCAGAAAACTGGAAGTGGCGCTATGGTTCAAGTGGTAGAGCGCTCACCTTGAGCTGAAAAGCTCAGGGACAGTTCCCAGGCCCAGAGTTCAATCTCTACGACCGACAGAGAAGGAAATAAAAAACACTGGGTATGGTGACCACCTGTCCACTCGGCTACTTGGCATATATAAATAGGCTGGTTGGGGTTCAGGCTAGCTTGGACATAAACATGAGACGTGCGTGCGTGCGTGCGTGCGTGCGTGCGTGCGTGTGTGTGTGTGTGTGTGTGTGTGTGTGTGTGTGTGTATGCATCCATATCCATACTGGGGCTGGAACTCAGGGGCTGGGCAGTGTCCCTATGGTAATAGTTTACCACACAGCGCCACTTCTGGCTTTTTCTATTTATGTGGTACTGAGGAATCGAACCTAGGGCTTCATTGCCTGCTAGGCAAGCATTCTTCCACTAAACTGGCTGGCTCTGAACCGTGATCCTCAGATCTCAGCCTCCTGAGTAGCTAGGATTACAGGTGTGAGCCACTGGCACCCGGCCTCTGAGATTTTTTTTCTTTTTTTTGGTCAGTCATGGATCTTGAACTCTGGGCCTGGATGGCGCTGTCCCTGAGCTCTTCAGCTCTAGGCAAGTGTTCAACTATTAAGCCACAGCGCCACTTATGGTTTTCTGATGGTTAATTGGAGATAAGAGTCTCATGGACTTTCCTGCCCAGCCTGGCTTTAAACTGCAATTCTCAGATCTCAGCCTCCGGAGTAGCTAGGATGACAGGAGTGAGCCACAGGTGCCCGGCTCTCTTGAGAATTTAAACAATGAGAAGCTAAGAGACAGGGATTAAGTCAATGGGCTACAAAGCCCAGTTTGGCAGGCATGAGGCCTTGAGTTCAAACTCCAGTAATGGGAAAAAATTTTTAAAAATTATTACACATGCCAGGCGCCGGTGGCTCATGCCAGTCATCCTAGCTACTCAGGAGGCTGCCATCTGAGGATCACAATTCAAACCCAGCCTGGGCAGGAAAGTCCGTGACACTCTTATCTCTCATGAACCACCAGAAAACCAGAGAAGAGAAGCAAGGAGTAACTAGGATGTCACAGGCCAGTAGCTGTAACTGTGAATTCTTTATCTCCAATAAACCACTAGAAAACTGGAAGTGGCACTGTGGCTCATGTGGTAGAGTGCTAGCCTTAAGCTGAAGATTTGAGGGATAACGCCCAGGCCCAGAGTTCAAGGCCCACGATCGACCAAAAAAAAAAAAATCTCAGGAGAGAACCTGATTGGTCCTGACGAGCAATTAGAGGCCAAGTTGAGAGTGGCTTAATGTTTTGCCTGCCCATTGGTTGTCCCCTGGTCAGCTGTCCTTTAATCAACTTCCATATGTGAGGCAGCTTCCTGGTTTTGGTTTTTGTGTTGAAAGTGGGTGTGGTCAATGAGAGAATTACCTGGAGAAGCTGGTAGGGCAAGGCTTGTGGGCTGGCCAGCCCTCCTTGGTGAATGGCCACATTCACCAATCCAAGTTGTAGAGACCAGAAATTGCAGGCCAAGGTGTCCTTGGCCCTGCCAGCCTTACCCTACCCCATGCTGCTTCCACAGCTGGCACTGCAGACGGGGCGCGAACCCCCACCCATCTGGCGTGTCCAGAAGGCTTTGCTACAGAAGTTCACTCCAGAGATCAAGGATGGCCAGAGGCAGTTTTGTGCTACCAGTAATGTAAGCTTGCAAGAGGTGGGGGTGCAATGTAGACTTGAGGGGACCCCCCCGTACCCCCCCCAGAGTGCCTCTGTGCTTTTGGAAGGAAGGGGATCTGGAATTCCTGGCCGGGTCTGGGTGGTTGTGGTGGCAGTGCAGAGGGGAGACGTTCTTGGTGGGGCTGTTTGGCCAGACGGGTCAGGAGAGGGGGATTTTGCTCACAGACCTCTTTCCCTCTGTAGTATTTGGGGTATTTTGGGGATGCCAAAAACCGGTACCAGCGCCTGTATGTCAAGTTCCTGGAAAATGTCAACAAGAAGGATTACGTGAGAGTCTGTGCCCGGAAACCCTGGCACCGGCCACCAGTGCCAGTCAGGTACCAGCATGGGGGAATGGGCAGGGCCCACACCCCCAGGGCTGTGGGGCATCCAAGACAAAGGGAAAGAAAGCCAGGTGTTGGGAAGAATAGAGACCTTGGAGAAGAGGGCTTTTGGGGAGAGCAGGGACTGTTCCTGGGCTAGGATGGGAGGGATCCCCAAGAATGTGTAGGTGCCCTGACTGCAGGCCTTTCCCATACCTTTCTAGACGCTCCGGGCAATCCAAGGGCCCCTCCTCAACAGGGACTGGCTCTGTACCTCCACCCAAGACCCCGGCTCCCCCTCCCAACCCTGAGAAGACGACTCCCGAGAAGCCCCCTGAGCAGACGCCTGAGACACCTGTGCCTGAAGCCCCTGCCTCTGAAAAGCCATCGCCACCCCGGCCCGTGGAGAAGGAGAAAGAGAAGGAGAGGGTGTCACGGGGGGAGCGGCCACTGCGGGGTGAGAGGGCCTCTGCTGGGCGGCAGACCCGGCCCGAACGGGGTCTGGCCACAGGACAGTCTGCTTCCCGCCTGCCCAAGGCCCGGCCCCCCAAGGTGAAGGCTGAGCCGCCCCCCAAGAAGAGGAAGAAGTGGCTAAAGGAGGCAGTGGGCAACTCCTCGGCAGGTGGGGGCCCCGCTGGCAGCTCCTCGGATTCGGAGTCGTCCCCCGGGGCTCCCAGTGAGGACGGTGAGTCGTCCCCCCCCCACAAGCTGTGGGGTGACTCTGGCCTTGGGATGGAAGGTGTGGGTGATTGCTGCCCAGCAGGTGTCCTCAGCAAGATGGTGGCAGGACGTTCCAAACCACAGAAGTTCTTGGTGGTTCTGTGGTACCGGCCTAGGTGACAGAACATGGCACGCCTTTGCTCAGTTTTCAGTTATTACCCCCATATACAAATGAGGATCCCGCCGGGTGCTGGTGGCTCACGCCTGTAATCCTAGCTACTCAGGAGGCTGAGATCTGAGGATCACGGTTCCAAGCCAGCCAGGGCAGGAAAGATCGTGAAACTCTTATCTCCAATAAACCACCAGAAAACCAGAAGTGGTGCTGCAGCTCAAGTGGTAGAGCACTCACCTTGAGCTGAAGAGCGGAGGGACAGCGCCCAGGCCCAGAGTTCAAGCCCACGACCGACAAAAAAAAAAAAAAGAGGATCCTGGCCCCCAAATTAGTATTGGGAAGCCACACACAACAGACACACAACACCAGGCCTTGTTCCTCATCAGTTCTTTGGCCTTAATAGGCGTTGTCTGCCACTGAGGACGGGTCGAGCTGTGGGAACAGGCTTGAGGGAGGGGCTCAGAGACAGTAGTGTTCCTGGGACCCTGGGGACTGAGGTTGGAGGGCCACCTCTGTGGGCCTCAGAGCCCTTACCTGAGAAATTGAGTGAGAAAAGATAAAAGCAAGCCAGGCGCTGGTGGCTCACGCCTGACATCCTAGCCACTCAGGAGGCTGAGATCTGAGGATCGCAGTTCAAAGCCCAGCCTGGGCAGGAAAGTCCATGAGATTCTTTTTTTTTTTTTTCTTTTTTGCTTATGTGGTGCTGAGGAATCGAACCCAGGGCCTCATGCATGCAAGGCAGGCGCTCTACCACTGAGCCACCTTCCCAGCCCTCCATGAGATTCTTACCTCCAATAAACCACTAGAAAACCAGAAGTGGTGCTGTGGCTTAAGCCCAGAGACAGCTGAAGAGCCCAGAGACAGCGCCCAAGACCAGAGTTCAAGCCCCACAACTGGAAAAAAAAAAAAAAAGGCAGGTTGAAAAAATGCCTCCATGAGGGAACCCCACATCTTCCTAGGGCAAGTCAGCTTCACAATGACAGTAACAAGACCATGCAAAATGCTTACCTTGTGCCAAGAAGAATTCTAAGCCATTATATTGTTGGCTTGTTTTATAAACCCCGTGAGGTGGGTACAGCAGAATTATAATCCCAAGTGTCAGGATTATAGTTATGTGCCACCACACCAGATTAGAACAGCTAGGTCTTTGGCTTATGATCTAGTCTCTTAGCATTCCTTGGGTCACAAGTGGTCATATGACCATGCTAGGCTGCAAAGGCATGTGGGAAATGTAGTTCCAATTTGGTAGCCAGCATCTCACCGGGAAACCAATTTTCCTACCTCTAGTTCCTCCTTTGGTGTTTTGAGACAAGATCATAACTGTGAAATCTAAGCTAGCCTCAAAATTTCTTTGTAGCCTGGGTTGACGGCCTCCCAAGTACTAGGATTATAGGTATGTGCCACGGGTGGTTTGCTTTACTTTTTTTTTTTCTTTCTTTTTCTCCTTCCCTTTTCGTTTTTATTATGTGTATTTCACACTGCCCAGAATGGAAGCCAGGGTTTGACACATGCCGGCTGTCTCCAGGCTTTGATCATCGTAAACCACATAGTCATCATAAAACTCTGTCTTGGTGCGCTCTTGCAGCTTGCTTCTTCCTTCCTTCCTTCCTCCCTCCCTCCTTCCTTCCCTCCCTCCCTCTCTCTCTCCCTCCTTCGTCCATCATGGGGCTTGAACTCTGGGCGCTATCCCTGAGCTCTTTTTGCTCAAGGTTAGCACTCTACCATTTGAGTCACAGTACCACTTCTCAATTTTTCTGAGTAGTTTAGTGGAGATAAGAGTCTCATGGACTTTCCCACCTGCGCTGGCTTCGAACCTCAGTCCTCAGATCCCAGCCTCCTGAGTAGCTAGGATGATAGGCATGATCCACCAGCACCCCACCACCCCCAACCTACCCACCCACCTTGCTCATGCCCCATTTCTTCCCTCAGCTTTTTCCTGCATCTTCCCCCTCAGACCTGTGAGCTCAGCCCTTTGTCCTCCTTACCTTATCGTAAGGACAGTTCCCATGGAGACAGAGTCACCAGCCCATAATACCTGGAGGCCATCTCACCTCTTCTCCCTGTCTTCCACCCCCAAAGTGGGGGGAAAGGTGGCAAACCCTGCACGCACTGCAAACTCCATTCCCAATTAACCCTGGTCTTCTACCCCTGGCCCTGTGCCAGAGTTTCTACCCCTTGGCCTTTGAATTCTGTCCTAGCCACCCTACCTTGGCTCTGTCCTTTCTTCTTGAGTCCATTGGGCTAGCTTGAGGTTTCACCCTCAAATCTTTCCTCCTCTGGGCCTCCGGCAGGACATTGCACTTAGTTCCACTCATCCCCTGCTCACAGATCGCCCACAGCTCCCCAGTGCTTCAGGGAAAAGGCATTCTTAAGTAGGCCTCAGGTCAGGGGCCCTGGTGTGCACCCAGGTGATGTCCTCTCCCTCTGTCTTCCTTATGAGGTGATCTCTCTGGCTTGATCCACTGTTTTGGAAACCAGCTTTGCTAATTGTGTGCAGCTCTAGTGAACTGTGCAAGCCAAGTTCCTTGGCCCTAAATGTTCTTTTTTTCTCTTTCTTCTTTCTTTCTTTCTCTTTCTTTCTTTCTCTTTCTTTCTCTCTTTCTTTCTCTCTCTCTTTCTCTCTCTCTCTCTTTCTTTCTTTCTTTCTTTCTTTCTTTCTTTCTTTCTTTCTTTCTTTCTTTCTTTCTTTTCCTTTGTGCTGTTTCTGGGTGCTGTCCTTGAGCTTTTTTTGCCCAAGGCTATAGTGCTCTACCATCCAAACCACATCTCCATTCCAGTTTTCTTTCTTTTTATTTGCCACTCTTGGGGCTTGAACTCAGGGCCTGGGCACTGTCCGTGAGCTTCTTTGGCTCAAAGCTAACACTCTACCACTTGAGCCACAGCACCACTTCCAGCACTTTTTCTGTATAGTTGATATTGAGGAATCGAACCCAGGGTTTCATGCATGGTAGGTAAGCACTCTACCACTAAGCCACCTCCCCAGCCCATTGATTCCAGCTTTTTTGGTGTTTAATTCAACATCAGAGTCTCATGGACTTTCCTGCTCAGGCTGACTTTGGACCAAGATCCTCGGATCTCAGCCTCCTGTATAGGCATGAGCCACCTGTCCTGAAAGTTGTTTCTTTTCAAGACTCAGCTTTGTGTGGCCTTGTTTTCCCAGGCCACAGGTCTGGCCCTATGCTCTGTATGGGGTGTGACCCTGCCATTCTGTCACACTTAGCTGGGGCTCGTCTATCAGACCCCCGCAGAAGACAGGGACCTTCCCCTCCGGAGAGATTTTGGTCCTGAGAGCACTCTGCCTCAAAGGATGCAAGCGTCACTCTGTACCCTGTTTTCCTCCAGAGCGAGCAGTACCTGGGCGCCTGCTGAAGACCCGTGCCATGCGGGAGATGTACCGGAGCTATGTGGAGATGTTAGTGAGCACAGCGCTTGACCCAGACATGATCCAGGCCCTGGAAGATACGCACGGTAAGCTGAGCCTGCAGCCTTGGGGCTCAGGGAGAGGAGACTCGGGTCTGGAGCCTGAGATCTGAAGGAGGAAGCTGATGTCTGGAGATCTGGGTTTGAGGGAGGAGGCTGGGGTCTCAACTTCTAGGTCTGAGGGAGGAGGCAGGTTCTGGACCCTGGTTGTGAAGAGAGGAGGCTGAGGCCTAGACACCTCCGTCTGAGGGAAGAGGCTGAGTCCCCAACCTCTCTGGCCTGGGCCTGGAGTGTCCTGGGCTTTCTGAAAAACTGACCCTGTGGCCTTGCAGATGAGCTGTACCTGCCACCCATGCGCAAGATCGATGGCCTCCTGAACGAGCACAAGAAAAAGGTCCTGAAGCGGCTGTCACTGAGCCCAGCCCTGCAGGTGCTTGGGGCTTGGGTGTGGGGTCACGAGAGGGGCCACGTCCTGGAGTGAGTTGTGATTCTCCTGGTCTCTCCAGCTCCAGGCCACTGGTGCTGCTAGGTGTGGCCTGATGGTGGCGCTGCTGTGCAGAGCGGGTGCAAGGATAAGCCAGGGCTTGGCTTATTCATCCTTCAGGCTCCCCCATTCCAGGTTTTAGCTCTCAGCACTAGAGTGGCCTGCTCGGCTGGATAGAACACCAGTACCATTCTTGGGAATTATTTTTTTTTGAGTGTGTGCCAATCCTAGAGTTTTAACTCTGTTGGTGCTGTCCCTGGGCTTTTTTTTCCTCAAGGCTGGTACTCTACCACTTGGACCACAGTTCCACTTCCAGCTTTTTGGTGGTTCATTATAAGAGTCGTGCCCACTTACCTTCTCAGGCTGGCTTTGAACCACCATCCTGAGATCTCAGCTTCCCGAGTAACTGGGATTATAGGTGTGAGCCACCAGTGCCTGGCTCATTCTTAAGAATTGTGTGATCTATGATTAACCTGGCAGGAGGACTCTGGTCAGGATATTAAAGTCTGGCACTAAGAATGTGACAAACAACTTCAAATTCTGGGGTAGATTTTAGGCTACCACTGTGGAATTTGGTTGAAATATCATGCTTGGATTGAGAATCCTCAAGTTTTCACAGGCTACGTAGACTCCTTGTAAATTGAAAAGTATCGCAGATCAGCAATACATTTAACTGGGCATATAATCCCAGTCACTCAGGAGTCTGAGGGCTGAGATCTGAATATCATGGTAT